AACTTGGAGTTTTAATACGTTCTCTTTATTTTATATTTATAATTTTGTTGCGAATCTATCCAAAATTTCAAAAAATCACAGCAGATTTTGTAAACGTACCGAAAACTCCAAAAGAATTTGATTGACGCTGCGAGGCGTATTCTCTGTAAAGATTTTTCGTATACGTCATATGGTAATGAGCTTAACAAGCGTTTCTTGATTAATGCTTTCCCACAGCAAAGTCCTTTGATGTGTGTGTATGCCAATCGGGAATATCATCTATCGATTGTCGACGGTAATTGCCCATACGTACGTATTCGAATTATTGTAGAGATTCCGATTGCCGTTCACCGGTAAAGCGGACGCGAACTCGTAATGTAAACCGTCAGTTTTTTTTTATAATCGCCAACGACGGACGTGAAGGGGCAATAAAACTCAGTGTCTCTAATTTTACGAATCTTTATAGACCATAAAAATGTAGCAGTGGACATCTGTTTCGTTATTAATCGGCCGAATAAAAGACGTTACCACGAACTTTCTTTATAATATGGGGGTTTTATCTGTTCCTGTACCAAATGTTGTCAAATCTGCGTCTAACAAATATTTTCTAGAAATTTACCGAACTTCGATCGATGTACTTTCACTTTTTTTGTAATTGTGTCATTATTAATGTATTGCCCTCAATTTTCATTTTGAAACTAGCTTTGGACTGCATAGTAAGTATAGTAGAGTCCTGTTTTATTAAAGGTGATCGATATTTCATAAACTGCAAATTCTGGAAATTACTTTTTAAGCTCCGTATTTTGCCGCATGGGGGCGCAGTTTATTTTGTTAACTAGAAAAGAAACAAATTACTCTATAACATTAATGAAGTTATTAGAGTGCCTGAAGATTTCCAAACAGCTCGAGAATGTCCAATGTCCAGTAAACTCAGGCTAGTTTGAAGGAGGAGAAATTTAAGTGCAAATTGCAATAACAACAGTTTATTTATATTTAAAAAAAGTTATATATTTAATAAGTAATAACCTGGTGGGAAAGCATATTAAATTTGCAAGAAATAGCGTTCAAACCACAGAAGTTGTGTAGGTATGTTACAAAATTGCTTTAGAATCAAAAACACCTCATGCTGATGTTTTTTGAAAAACTCGTAGAAAATTCAATTTCCAATAATTTCGTTATTAATTATAACCTCGCTTTTGTGTGAAAATTTTTTTTTAATTAATTTGTTTATTTACTCTCACTTCTAACCTAAGGAATATTAGGTGCAGCAATGTCGATTGAATTTCCCAAACCGTATAAGCTTGCGACTGTTAGTTTACGGTTCGAGAATTAATTATCCTCATCTGAAATTTATAGACCAACGTAAAGGGGGCGCAATTTAAGGATAATGCCTCGACAACGGGCTCATTTGACAATTTAACGTTGAAGCTCGTAAAACGCCGCAGTAAAACTTGAAGTTATAACTCGAAAACGTCGACTCTGACATTTGGCACTAATCCTTCCGCCGATAACAGCGCGACGCGGCACGGATAAAATTACACTTTAATAGGTCAAAAGTTGACGTTTCTGGGTCGTATTGTCTTCAGAAGCGGGATTGAACAATACGCGTTTGTATGTGCGGCTGCTCGACGTCAACACCTGGGTATTTTTTTACGGGCATAGTATAGCAAAGAATAATGTTAATTTCACCGTTATTATACGGGGCAAATAAAGTCCACTAAATTTAATGTTAAATTCCTTAAATATTCACCAAGACCAGTTTTCTATTTATCTAATTTAATACTATAAAATCAATTCAAAATTGATCATTCCAATAGCAAACTATGGTCCAGCTTTACACACCTGCTGGATCTCATTTATAATATTATAGAGTGCTAAATCGAAAATTTGATTAAATTTCAATTATTTGAGATCTACCGATTTTCGAGAATTAGTTTAAATTCGTACATCAAATGTGCTTTAAATTCTAGTGTATTTTAAATCACTTGAACAGTTAGGCATTGTAAAAACGAACATTAATAAACAACAGGATATTTTGCTGAGTATAAAAAAATATTTTTCAATTTATATCATAAAATAGTTTACTTGTAAAATTGTTTCTTAATAACAGTCTTATTTCTTATGTAATAAGCACTATTTTACACGCCTCAATAAAACTTATAATTTACTTTTTTTATTCTGAATTAATTCATTTTAAAAAATGTATTTGAGTTGAGTGGGAACTAGATTTTTAATATCTTAAGATAAGGCGTTACAGAATTAAATGTCATAATTAAAAATTTCAAAGTAATTTGGTCGCCTTGGTGTTTTGTACTTTAAAAATGAAACACACTTTTTTGGTTGTTTTAAACATTAAAAGAAGTACATACAAGTAATCTCTAGTTCATTATATTTATTCTTCATTTTATCCGAAAAAAACTAATTTACTTAATATCCAAAATCATTTTGTTGGAGGACTGAAAATTCTTTCAGTGTGTGAGTATAGTACGAAGTCAATATAATATGTTTACTGACACCTGTGATTTGCAATAACAGATGTTATTGCAAGCAAGGTCCCATGTCAACTCTAAACTGGATTAATACAAAAATAATTCAAATATGTAGAATTAATATATATGATACTAAAAAGGTATTATATATTTAAATTAGGAAATAGCAAAATCAAAAATCATTGTAAAACAAATTATTATTTTCGATTTGACGCATCCCTGTCAAAACACTAGTCGCAAGTAAATTTGTATAAACACGAAATGTATGTTCGCAGTCCTAGCAATATAAAATTACATTTGCAATATACAATATTTATAAAATTGCATCGCTTTTTCCAATTCCGACGGCTGATGCCTTGACGATTTTGATTCGTCTCCATCGCAAAACGATCTCGATTCCACCGCTACCAAAGTTTTGGAATCGATATGGATATCCTCTTTATTGGACTTTAACCTTATTTCAGTCTTCAGTTTCTCGAACAGTTCCCAACGTATTTGGTTTTTAGTTTAATAAAACTTCGCGTCTCTCTCCAAATACCCTCGTCAATATAAGTTCCGTTTGTTTCGTGAAATTGAAGGGTTTCGCTGTTAGCCTGTAATTTTGAGCGTCCGTCGCTTTTGTTTGCGTTTCTATATTCTTGAACCATGCCGAACGCTCGAGTGTGTTTTCTAAGTGCTTCCCGATGATTGGAAAGCACTTTGATAGAGATTAGTTAATTTTTCATTTCATTCAGACCTCCCTAAGTTTTTATTGTGCAAATATTTGCCACGTCGACGTCTTACAATCAAGTGAAATACCTGAACTAGTGGGAAGAATGAGTATTTGGTTGTATTCAAAAAAGTTTTTTGCTCACTCATAATCAAATGATGCGTGTATATTTGTCAGCTGTATCAAGCTCAGTTAAGGACTGACCTAAGGTTAGCTATAAAAACTTGTACCATTTTTGGTTAGCACTTAAGCTTAAGCTAATCATGAGAACTTAAAGAGTAAGTTAATTTTAACTGGGTTAGTAAAAATCGCGTTTATTTACCCTTCATACCAAGTTCGGCCCTGAATTTTAATTTTTTCATGTCTCGCACTCAAATTCCAAAATAATATTTTTGAAACATAAGAAATAACCAGCTTTTATTTTCGAAAGTTTTTTTTTTAAATAACAAATATTTAAAACCGAAAGTTACCCAAAATCGTTTAAATATTAATTACAGGTGTTAAATTTATAAGGAACAGTTTTCGAAAGTATATTAGATATGTCCGTTTTCGTCTTTTTTTTTAATCAAAGATAATGTTACTGGTAGTGGCCCGCTAAGTCATTTTTTGTATTTTTTGAAGCAGAATTCACTTCAGATAAATAAATCTCAAAGAAGATTATTGATAGGATTGAGTGTGGTAAATTTTTCCAAAATTATAGAGAGAATTTTTTAAAATTTGGTATGTGGCCATGATAATCTTTCGCAAAAAGATGTTAACCCAACATTTTAATAACTTAATCTTTTAAAAATTGTTGCTTTTAATTATTGTTCCAGTTAAAATGTATATATTTTTTTGAAAAAGTTCGCAACTTCTCTTCGTATTAATGGAACAAACAACAAAAGTAGCTATTTTTTGAATGACTTGGCTAAGTAGGTCAAGTTCTGTTAATAACAAATTATTGTTAGTACTAGTTGCATTAAAACTTTTCATGCTTACGTCGTTATTCAATAGTGGCTGTTTTTCTATTGATCAGGTACTCAACGGAAACGTATTGTATGGTACGTTAATTACAAAATGTTGCCAGTTTCCTACGCGGTTAATCGTGTTCAGCTAAGATTTGGGATAAAGCATCAACTGTAATTTTTTTGAAATTAACGATTCATGTATATTCAAATATTTCTTCAGATCAGTAATCATCGTGAATTACTGTAAATAAAACCGCGGTATAGATGATTTTAACAAAAAAAAAAAATGTTAATATGGGTCCGCGATCTCTTTATACTTACATATACAGTGGCGTCGTGGTAAGCATGGCACTGAATATTATTATCAAAAAAATGGTACGCCACTGCTTTTGTCGAATATAAATTACAATTAGCCAAAATGGTCTGTCATCAAAGGTTTCCATCGAAAAATTTAAAAAGCAATAAAAATTTCATTCAATCGTTAGAACTAAATTAAAAGCTAGCAGCAAACAACGTGAACGTTCTTGTTATGCATTGTGGGCCAGTTTGGATGGAAATGAGGAAAACCCGTTTTTTAAAATGTTTTCGACACCTAGTATATCAAAAATAAAGAAATTGCCGACCTACATTGGTATTGTCCTTTTTTCATTAAGGATCAGCATCTAGCAAGAAGGAACGCTCTACGTTTTACCACTATTATATGAAACAGGGTCGTAAATCCTAATGCAAGTGGTCGCCGTCCATTTAATTGTGGGAGGGAAGCTGAGCTTGTAATTTCTGTTTAACGCCTCTTGCTTTTGAAATTACGAAAAATCAGCGGTTAGAAATTTCCTTGGATCTATTTTTTTTTAATTTGATTTTACTTTTTCGTTGCAGAATACGTACACCAACGCCGACAAGTTACTGGCCGCTGCCGAAGAACTAGCCCACACGGGCGAGTGCGACCCTGACGAGATCTACTCAGTGGCGCGCGAGCTAGAGGCCCACGTCGCCTCGTTCGCGGCCAGAGTCGAGCAGCGTCGGCGGCGGCTCGACCTGGCCGTCCTGTTTTACACGAGGGAAAAGGAGCTGGCCAGTTGGGCGGACGAGCTGAGGCAAGAGTTGCAGCAGGAGGAGAACGCGGCGGAAACGTTGGAAAGCGTCGAGAGGTAATTTCATTTAATTAAATAAGTTCGGGCCGGGATTCGGATTTTCGCGTCCAGTGCCGTAATTGTTCTTTTGTTCAAAATTAATGGGTCGCATTTGCGTGCTCGGATGTTCGATTATATTCTTAAATGATCTGCAATATAGGAAAATACCATTAGCTGGCAGTTCACAATATTTTTATTCCTATGTTTGCTATTGTGACTTCTCTGCTGTGAAGCCTTTTGCTTTTGCTTTACTAATATAATTGTCTTCTCCTTTTCCATTTTTTGGAGGACTCTTTAATTCGGTCTCTTTAAAGCACCCGTTAAGTACATACAACAAGGTGAATCAGTTTGCCACTGCTTGCCTCCTCTATTCTCACTCCACCTATCTAATTTTTGCTCTTTGTGTAGTCATACTTTTGCTTTAATCTGTGGACGTCAGCTAATTGCGAACATTGTTTTCTGATTTCTTGTACTCAGTTTCTAAAGACGGGTCAGGTTCAACTAGTGTTTCCTATACTGCTATGTGGTCTGAGTTAATTAAGTTCAGCCAGTTTTATTCAAGCTTTATTCAAGTTCCGACATTCTTCGTTCGTGGCCTTGGTACAGCACATTATAGTGAACGTTATTGTAAAAAACTGTCTAGTAAATATGGGTCCTGATTGTATATTGTATTTTGTATCAATGTATTTTGTATACCTGATAGGGCGAAGCTAAACACATCATTCATTACCTTATTTTCCACATCTAAGAGACATGTGGTTATTTATTTTTTGGGTAGATTTTATTGGTCTCATTTCTTGAGAGTTTCAGTGAGAGTCTGCTTAAAATCAACCGTCCCGTTTTTTCTAGCAATTGCCGCTTAAGGTAAAATCCATTTTTAATCTTCATAGAATCCGAATTTAGTCCTCATAGTCATCAATCATCATTCATCACTTACAAAGTGGTCCAGGGAAAACTTAACACCCTTCTCCTAGATCACATTAGGTGTTCGTGGACAACGAAAGTGCGCCTAACTTAATATTTGAACGATCCCAAGTCTTCCTCAGGGTTGCTTGGTTTGTACAATATATTGAGTTGTTTGTTCGCCGTTTCAAATATTTCCTGAAGGGGTTGGAGATGCGAGAACAAGGAAACGAATTATTCATTTAATTCCCTAATCCCGTACAGTTTTATCATACGAGCGGTAAAACGTGCATAGCTTAGTTGACTATATCTGTTAATAGTACTATTTTTGGTCAAGACGGTAAGCTGTTAACGCTTATTAATTTTTGGCCGCTGATTGAACACTGCGAGACTGTAATTTAGCTCGTAAGTAGAACGGATTGGATGTGCTAATAATTTCGAAAACCATAGACGCCAAAAAGTACTTGAAAGCCTGTCAATTTTTAGCCAGTTAAGTTCCTGGAGTTTGTGGGAAATCCTATCAAATTGACGCAAGCCTGCAACAGCTGTTTTGAATTTTATTACAATTCATATTTTTTAAACGTCCACCTTTAATTAATAAATACATTTGGGATAGTTGTTCAATGTTTTGGGAGAAAAAAACATTACACTGTCTTTTTTAGCATTAAGTTGAAGATTATGCCTAGAAGAATATAGAAATAAGTTATGCAAATCCAAATTGATATAAATTAAAGGAATCTCAAATAATTTAGGAGCGAAAGAGTAAAATACCTTTGTGTCATCAGAAAATTAATGCAAATATTTGATGGATGTATAAATATCAGAAATATAAATTAAGAATAATATAGCTCCAAGGACGGAACCTTGCGGTACACCTGATGAGACAGGGAGAAATTCAGAACTTACATTGTCCAGGGTAACTCTCTCATATCTGTTAGCTAAGTAGTTTTCAAAAAATCGAGTCGAAACATCATCGAAGCCGTAGTCACTCAATTTGGCGCACATAAGTTTATGGTCAAGCCGATCAAAGGCTTTAGAATAATCTAAAGACATAAGTGCAGTCGTAAGACCATTATCTAAAGAACTAATAATGTGATCGTTGATTTGTAAAAGTAGACTAATAGTACTAAAATCTTTACGAAATCCAGATTGACTGTTAGTGACAATATGATTATAACAGACATCTATGGAGCTCGAACCCAGCGAGTGGCTGAGTGATGGCAGGGACGGACTCGTTACGTAGATATTTTTAGTATTTAAACAGATACTAAAAAAGCGAAGAATGGTTCATACAAGTGGTGAAAAAGTGATTTTACACAAGCCATTTTGAAAGCACCTGTGAAAATAAATTTTCGTAGAATTTCACGACCACATCTTGTTCCTTTATCTTCTTTCAATTTTTGGGAAAACGACTTTTTGAGCGACAATATGTTCTTTGTGCATAACATATAGTTCTCAACGAATTATGGCGGCATCACTGCTTCCAGTTTTATGAAAGTAGATGAATCATTTCCTTTTCTTCTCACTATTTGAGGTTTATGTACAACATGCCAGTGGCATGCAGTGCCAATTTCAGTATGGTGGTTAAATTTGTATGACAAACCTTTATATGTGAATTGATTATTCGTTAGCCCAAGGTGAGCTATAATTCTCGTTGTGTGGACTGGTAGTGAGAATTTCGAGCCAAGTTAAGATCAGCCTGAAAGGGTAATGATTTCCGAGTTCAGACAATTATATTTAATATCCATAATGTCCGCCAATTTTAATTGACCATCGAAAAACTGCATTGGGAGTCTATCGGTCTATCATTTCATCATCATCTAGGAAACTTGACCAGATAGTTAAGACACATTTTGGGTATAATGACTTTTAAATGCGCTATACCACACTCCTGTGGCAAGACAGCAGAAGAAGTAGATTTCGGCAATATTAAGAAACGTTTGATGAAGTAAGATTTGGCTTTTTCAATAATATCAAAATTACGTAAATCCCATTCTAATCCTCTCCTTAGATTAATGGAACGTGAACTGTTTGTTGGGCGCTAGTTACAAGAGATTTAGACTATTTCCCTAAAAAACGAAGAAGCAACAGTAACTTCCAAATATGTATGATGATAGACTACTTCAATGGGATTGTTATTTAGGAAAAATACTTCTCGAAATGTTTGAACCACCCCTAAAGGAAATTGTTTAGGATATGGACTCAAAGACTCCTGTTCTCCGGTTAAACTCTCTGATAGTTCCTGAAGCAATCTCGTTTTAAGTTCATTACAACATTGATAAAGTTGGGGCTGACCATAGCTATGTAGCTTGGGCCACAGTCCGGTCTACGAAAAGACGATTGCATATACCTTTCTCCATTTCAAGCGCAAGTATCGTCCTTAACTCCACTAGAATCGTTGGGTCCTTCTTGAAACTGACGTAGCACTTTATAGAAAGCACGTTTATAATTACAATAACTATAATTACTTGTCTCAAATGAATCCAGCTACTAACTAAACTAATAAACAAAAATCATTCTGGACAAATAACTTATTACTTCTGTTATGCGTACTCGATCCGTACATGGATAACCAAATTTCACATTTTGAACATTAGAGGTGGTCTCGAGGGTATGGGATTTACATTTTTTATGAGTTTGATAGATCAACGGTCATACTAGGGTACATTTGAGGCTTAATTTCTTATCGCTTCACCTGGCGCCTGATGGGGAATTATTAAGTATTTAAGTATTTTTTAGTACTTGCAGTGATTTATAGCAACTTATTGTTCTATAATCGATGAAATGTTGACTTTTTCGTTCTTCAAAGAAACTTCCACGGGCTACTGTTATACTTCTTCTGGATTCCTCCTACGTCGGTTTTTGTTGAGTCAAACTAGCTAACATCCTGCCAATCATCCTGTTGGCTTCTTCAGAGCTTGATTGAAACAGGCTCCCATTTTACTATGGAGTCCCTATTCCTGAAACTTTCACCATAATTTCAGTTATATTAAAATCCAAGAATCTGGAACCAAAGCTTCTCACCTTAATTGAAAAATGCTTGTCTGGAACATATTTTTCTTTTAACGGTCAAATTTTTGAACAAACGATGGGAGCTATGGGTTCTCCACTGTCACCAGTCATATCGAATATATTTTTGGAAGCCTTTGAGAAAAAAGCTCTTGACATCTTCCATCTAAAACCAAAATTATGGAAACGATACGTCGATGATACTTTTGTTATTTGGCCTCATGGTAGGGATCCCTAGTAGATTTTCTTGGACATTTAAACTCTATATACCCTAACATTATGTTTTACCATTTAAATAGGAACTAATAAAAACCTCCCATTCTTAGATATTCTTATCAATAGAAAATCAGACCTAACATTGGGTCATTGTGTTTACAGAAAACCTACGCATACAGACTACGCCTTAATGCATTGTCACATCACCATCCGGCCCAAAAATCATCGATTATCAACTCTCTTGTTTACAGGGCCGTAAAACTATCTCAACCCGAATCATTGAACCCAATATACACTTCACCAAAGCCTTCCAATGGCAATGAAACCAAAAATAATCCCACACCTGCCACTGTTGACGTTCCTTATATTTAAAACATCACTGACTACATATCAAAATTGCTAAAGAAATATAACCTCAAAACCAGATTTACCGCTTGTCCAAAAATATCTCAACTTCTTCGACAGACCGGACGAAAAATATCAACTTGTTCAAAGAACATGAAAGAATATTAAGACTAAGGCAGATAAACTCATCAGCAGTTGCCGGACGCAATCACGCAACCGGACATAAAATTTTATTCGACAAAAATAAAATTCTTCCATATTATCAATTCTACTGCCAACGAAAAATCCCAGAGTCTATAGAAATCTATAAGCAACCTAAAAATCTTAACCGCGACTCAGGTCTCTACCTGTCACCAACATGGGAATCAGTCATTCGAAAAAAAATATAAAAGGTATACTGTACTGCTATTTACAAAACTTCAGGATCGTTCTAGCGTCGGTTATTTTCAAGAATAACCGACGCAGGAGGAATCCAGAAGTTTTGTAAATAATATTGAAACGAAGATCATTTGCTGTTGTGGTTGTGCTCAAGTCCTCTTAGTCCCACCTCGACAACCTCCGACGCCGGATCGACATGATTTATATTGTTTTTATCGTCCGATTAAAGGGATTTGCTGTGATTTATAAGGGTTTATTTCTCGAGAGTAGTTTACTGTGTACACATATTTACTCCTCGCCTAAAGTATTGAAACGCGTTTACAGGTTGTTGGAGCAAACCGATCAGCACAGAGTTCAGAGCCTCGAAGCGTGCGCGTCTACTATAGCTCAAGGAGAAGCTCTACTTCAAGAACTAAGGTAAGCACTTTCGACCGTTAATTCCGACGGGAGGGACGTTAAATATTTCAACAATATCGGGGCGCATGTTTACCCTCTCCCGAGTCGCCCGCGTTCTTAAACATCCCCTTTGTTGGGCGCTCGCCGGGGTTCTCTCTCTTCCCGGAAACAGGGTGCGGGGTGAAGGGGTTTTGCATTTTCATCCCCCGCCGCATCAATCAAATTCGCACCAGTCCTTGCAAGTCAGATTTCCGGCGAATATTAAACAATTATAACGGGCGAGGAATATTGTGAAAGTCACCGGGGTGAGACAGAAAAGGATGGGTCGGGCGTGGTGAGGAGCGGAGGATTTTGGTCGTGGATCTTTTTTTTTTTTTAAACTGAATCTAAAGAGACGGGCGAGTTATTTTGTCGATACAGAAAGCCAAGTTAGAAAATAATATATGTTGTAAAGGAAGATTGAAGAATAAATTGCTGGCTTGCTGTGGTGAGAAGATTCCTCGCTACGAACAGAAAATAAAAGGAGAAACATTAAAACGAATTTTAAAAACCTAACTTTAACTGTTGAAAAATTTTAGTTAGATTTCTTACTAAAATGGTTTCTCTTTTTTTTTTTCATTCTGATTTTTTAAAATATTTTTGATTTACCACTTTTTCATATATTGAAGTAGGAAACGTGTGTTATGATACTTTAAACACCGAGTATATGGTTTCGACATAGAATTTTATATGATTATAAAATATTATAAAAATTTTATATGATTATAAAATAGCTAACTGTTGTTTGTCCAAGAAACTTCGAAAAAAGTTAGTTACTTTTAGCTGGTGGTCACCGAAAATAGCTAGTAGCCAGTAAAAGCAAAGTTCACTTTTATTATTCTTTGGGATTTTAGGAATTGTGCAGTTCGGATGAAAATAATTGTTGTTGTTCGCAAATTCACAGTGTTTCGCTAAGTTTCGTACCGTGTATCCCATCCGTGGTGTAAGTTTGGAATTTTTTTTTTTTTTTAACTATTGAAGAGAGATAGGACATGTCTAGGTGGTGGTTTTAAATCGTATGCTCACAAAAAATACACCGTGTATAACGAATGGCAAACGCTTCAGACAATTCTTATTTCTACCAAACAACACATCAACACTGTCATTTATTTAAGCACTGAGGAAACTTTTCGACTTCAACAAATTTAAACCCGATTTTACCTAACAAAAACAGTTTATAATAACACATACAATCCACAAATAAAATGAACTACAATTTAGTAATTTTTTTACGCCATACTTTTGTAACCCACTCTGTATAATTCTAAATATTTGCACATATATTGAAGTTATTATCTGTTTAAAAATCTCATTAATAATGGTGAATAAATATTGACCTAGCCTGATCCTACTTTTTACATATGATAGTTATGTACGATCTTATGACGTCACTAACGAACTTTTTCTCGATTTTCTTCAATAAGCTCATTCTGATTTGCTATTTTTACTAAGCCTGGTCGAATGATTACTTAGAAAATGAAACGCTTTAATCGGACCCAGTTTAGTGCATAGATAATTATTTTTCTTGTCTAAAATTTCACGTTTCACGCGAGCTGTCTTTTTCATACATAAGTACGAAGTCATGTGGGCATCATCGTTACTTTTTTCTATAAGTCCTGCGGGGCAATAAACTTGATGAATGGCCGGACCTATTACGCCACATTCAATTAAGGGTCATTAAATACGAACGAAACGCGTCAGAGGCGCGCCCGCCCCTTTGATGGACTAGTACGTCGCCCAGTAAATAATTTTTTTTTTGTAAATGTCGGTTACCTGAATACCGTAGATCGTGCCACGGTGGTCAGATTTGGTTAGCACGGTTATTGGACGTAATTATTCAATATCTATCCGTCACATCCGGAGTACAGACGAAAGTCACTGAACGTTGAACATTAAGGTGCGTAGACAACAAAACATCTTTAATTTATACTTTGCGGCATAGAAATAGAAATATTTTTGGAAAATGATGAAATTTATTAAAAGGGATTCTTAAAATTTTTCTAGTTAGTGGCGACTCCACCTAAAGTTTGATATCTCTAACTCTTTTTGGTATGCTGCGAATCAGATGTAAGTGTGAGACGTGGCAACCGACTCAGCCTTTTATTCAACATATAACAAATCTTGCTTGTCGGAGGAGGTGTCTAGTAGCTGCAGCGGTATGTAATTTGGCATTGTATTACTGAAAAATAGGGTCTTGCGATTTTTGAGGGTCCAGAAAATTTAATGGTGTCCCGTTTTCATTTCTGATGAATCCACAAATGTCCACCTCGACGACCATTGTGGACCTACAAAAGGCAAAACCGTAATTTGCCACTGAAAACTACCCGATATCACTCTTGATGCGAACCAAGGACGCTATAGCTTACTCCAAAAGCTTTAATTTTCGCTTCACTCATGTTCGGTTGCGCTGAAAGTGTCCTTCGAAATCACTGGTTCCCTTCAAATCATCAGTTTCTCTACTACGTGTATGGGGGCAGTGTACACATCACTCTGTCCAATATTGCTTCACTATTCTAGCACTTTAGCTAATCCTACACAAACATTCTGGATAAAGTTGTTGTCGTAACAGAACCGCCCTCGGGGCGCTGGGGTATAAAGTTATCACAGGTCTACAAATTAATCTTTTTGACAGATATTTTTATTTTAATTTTATATTATTTTGGTAGGCTGATTTCAAAAATTCAATGCAAAACTTTACTCAGAATTTTTTGAGTGAAATCTTCGTGTTTTTGCCAGAAAGCTGCGTTGTCATCGTTATGCTCCATCTTGTTTAGTATCGCCGTTCCATTTCCTTAATGTCTTGGCGAAACCTCTTTCCCTGTTCTTCGCTAACTGCTTCAAGAAAATAGTTCAAGTGGGAAAACAGGAAGTGCATCTTCAAACTTATATTACAACCTAGACGATGAATGTGTTGTAACATATTTTGAACAATACTTTCGCAGTTTTCAGTCCTTAGAGTTCCCAACAAACTTATCAATTACTTCTTTAAATGAAAGCCAGGTGTTTTTCTCGACATTGTTTTGAAAATCCTTGACTTAGCATAATGTTCTTATCTGGGAGCCAACAAAAATACCTTCTTTTATCTTGGCATCAGATACGGCTGGAAATTTTTCCCAAAAATATTTGAAACACGTCCATTTTTGGTTGTAAAACTTTTTTAGGGTCAACCAAGCTCCCTTAATACATTTTTGCTACCAGGTGTAAGGCTGTTCTATTTCGAGTCCAAAGTCTATCTCTTCCCGCTCACCAATTAAGCATTTAAATTTTGTATAACTCCCCCCTCCCCCTGTTGTTCTAGGAACATCCACAGCACTTTAAGCTCACCACAAAGCATCCACTGATTGGAAGTTTACTTTCTTCAAAAAGTCCTAATTTTTCTTGCGTTCCTTGCAAATGTGCCGGGAACTTAGGCCAGTTCGTTACCATCGTTACTAAGTCAATAATATTGTTGCAATACACTAGCTGTCGTTCTTGACTAAAATATTGACATAACTCTTTTTCGTGATTCCGGTAAAAACTGAAATCTAGTGTGAAATCTGAGTCACCTGGGTCGGAATTAGATTCCTCTGATTCTGACGACATGAAGTTTTCTAGTTCTTTTGGTCCAATGCGAACCGGTCAAATAGCAGAGTCAAGATTGGAATACACAATTTGTTTTTTATTTTTTGTGTTGAATCCTTGAACATTACACGGACAAAAATAACAATCATCACTGTGATTCCTAGGGTCTCGCCATACCATAGTAACACCAAAGTTTAAACATTTCTTTCTACTTTTTTGTCAGTTTCTTGAAGCTTCAGCACAGACGGAACAAACAGTATGAGGAGCCCAGGACTTGTCTTGTTGGCCAATTTTTACACCAAAATAAGCGTGGTATACATTTTTCACAAAGTAAGTTATAATTTGCCTGTGCTTTACTACGACATAACTAACACAGATATAACAAAAGTTATTTGGATTGTTCACACAATGTCTTTTTTCCATATTTATGCGGTCTACAACACTAGAAACACAACAACAACGAACACAACAGCCGCGAAAACAGGCTAACGCCCAATAACAGATTACAATCAATCAACAGTTAGCAAACAAAAAAAAGAGAACACATGCCTAAGGCAAAGAGTTTCATCTATATACTAAACTAATTAATTAACATGCTACTTTTTAATAGTTAATTGAACTGTTTATTAAGTTACACATTCTGTACAATATACTATTTTTTCCTAGATTAGTGTAAGCTCTAGGAAGTTCAAAAGTGATATTCCTTGTTAAATATGTAGGCACAATAAATCTTAAATTTACTAATTAGAACAATCTATTCTGTCCCAAACCGGTTTATACAAAAATATTGCTTCAGCAATTTTCCTTCTTTTTTCAAGTGTGCAAACGCCAAACTCCTCAGTCAAAACGACATAGGGTACATCACAATAATAAATATCATACTTCTTATAATAAAGTTACCTCAAAAATTTCTTCTGAACCTTTTCTAATACAAAATAGTACGGACTCCAGATAATCGAACAATATTCGAAAATACTCCTAACATAAGCATTATACAATAGATTCAGCGTTTCCTTATTCTGACAACCTGAAGAATTTCGAACCACAAAGCCTAAGATTTTGTAACCTTTTTTTTGTTATGCTGTCTATATGCTTATTAAAATTTAATCCGGAATCAAAAAGTACACCAAGATCCTTCATGCCTAACATATATTAATAAAATAACATTCTCAGATATAGAGCGCTATAAAAAAATGACGTGGAAAAAGGGTTCCCAAAAATATAAAACTAACCAAACAGCTCTCAGAAATCACTGTAGTATCCTAAACGAGCAGTCCAGGGAAGTGGTAAAAATGAGCCTCTAAGTTTACCGGGAGAAAAAATGAAAAATGGAAAAGCTGGCAAAAACAAAACTACCAAACGATGCCCGTAACGGAACTTTAGATTGAAGACACTAAAAGACGCGTATGGTCGGTGTTGCA